ATTCCTGCATCCCGGAGAAGTATCTCCCAAAAGGAGGCATCCCAGCTGGAAAAGGATGCCCTGAGGGTGCCCCAACACCCCAAAAAACGTCAGGATGGCACCAAAAATCTGATTTTTAATAGCCAGGAGCAACAGCCTTGGGGTGTGAGATCCCAGTCCTTTCTCCGGGAGATCCTGCTGAACTGAATTCCTGGTCCTGCTGAACTGAATTCCTGGTCCTGCTGAATTCCTGATCCTGCTGAACTGAACTCCTGATCCTGCTGAACTGAACTCCTGATCCTGCTGAACTGAACTCCTGATCCTGCTGAACTGAATTCCTGGTCCTGCTGAACTGAACTCCTGATCCTGCTGAACTGAATTCCTGGTCCTGCTGAACTGAATTCCTGGTCCTGCTGAACGGAATTCCCGAGCTTCCTGGGGAGGCAGCGCCGGGAGAAGGCAGGGAAGGATCCCAGGTTTGGCAGGGGCAGGGCTGGGGGCAGGTGAGGGAGGAAGGAGAGGGCGGGTGAGTTCAGGGGAGCAAATAAAGAGCAGCTTTTCCTTCTTCTTGGAGAGGGTTGGGATGAGGGAGGGAGGGAGGGAGGGAGGGAGAGTCCTCCTGTCACCTGGGGATGGCACTGGAGGGACGAGGCAGAGGCAGGACAAGGAGAACCTGGGGATCAAGGGAGATGATCAGGAGAGGGGTGGGATGGCAATCCCAGATCCCTGNCCCCGACTCCGGGTGGATTCCCTGCCCCAGATCCCGGCGGATCCGAGTGGGAATGGATCCAAGTGCCAGCAGGGAGCACGGCAGGTCCATGTTTGATTTCTCCTGAAAGGGATAAATCCCGAGGAAAAGTGAGGGAAGAGAACCCGGGAATGCTTGGGGTGGGAAGGGCCCTCGGGATCAGCCAGAGCCACCTCCCCCGGCCCAACCCAGCCCTGGGCACTGCCAGGGATGGGGAATCCCTGGAAAAAGAGCTCCATGGGATTCCAGGGGGGGTTGGAGCTCCCTGGAGTTCCTGAGCGAGCACCCGGAGCTCCGAGGGGAGTCCGGGAAGTTCTCAGCCAGAGATTCCAGGGGGCCCTGAGGCGGAGGGAAACCCCTGGGATACACCTGGAATGCAACTGGAATACACCTGGAATGCACATGGAATGCACCTGAATACACCTGAACACACCTGGAATGCACATGGAATGCACATGGAATGCCCCTGGAATACACCTGGAATACACCTGGAATACACCTGAATACACCTGGAATGCAACTGGAATGCACCTGAATACACCTGGAATACACCTGAATACACCTGGAATGCACCTGGAATGCACCTGGAATGCAACTGGAATGCAACTTGAATACACCTGGAATGCACCTGAAACACACCTGGAATACACTTGGAATACACCTGGAATGCAACTGGAATGCACCTGAAACACACCTGGAACGCACCTGAAACACACCTGGAACGCACCTAGAATGCACATGGAATGCTCCTGGAATACACCTGGAATATACCTGGAATACACCTGGAATGCACCCGGAATACACCTGGAATGCACATGGAATGCCCCTGGAATACACCTGGAATGAACTTGGACTGAACCTGGAATACACCTGGAACACCCCTGGAATACACCTGGAACACCCCTGGAATACACCTGGAACACCCCTGCCCAGGGAGAAGCTGCTCCTGGGTCCCACCAGGATTCCAGGGAAGGGGAAACCCCCCTGGGACAAACCCCAAACCCCCCAAACCCACCAGGATTCCAGGGAAGGGGAAAACCCCCCTGGGACAAACCCCAAACCCCCCAAACCCACCAGGATTCCAGGGAAGGGGAAAACCC